GGAACACTGATCGCTCTTTCAGAGGACCCAGGTTCGGTTCCTAGCACCCACATGACGGCTAACAACCATCCATAACTCCAGTTCAGGAGATCTGACACCTTCTTCTGACCTCTGCAGGCACTGCACAACACAGTTACACTTTACACACATGCAGGCAATACACTCATACAAAACAAAAACAACAAAATTTTTTTAAAAACACACACTTTCAAGAAGACTGGCTGCAGATTAGCAAGTGACTGTCCAGGCTGTGATTCGGAAAACATGGGCCTAAAGAGTAAAGGATGAACATCTGGCAGCATGTTCAGAGGCTCCGCAGAGAAGCGCTTCAGCTCTCAAAGTACCTCAGGACATCTTGAAGGGCTGAGCTTCTGCCCACCTCCTCAGCCTCCACTCACGCCATGCCAACTGTCTACACTCCAGCTACACGGGCACTCCTCCAGTCCTCAGACGCACTGGGCTCCTTTCCAGCTCCTCCTCCAGGCAGGCTCTTCCCGTGCCCACCAAGCTCTTCCTTCCCAATCCACTTTCTCTGCTAACTGAGCCTTTGTACACCAGAGAGCGCCCAGTCATGTCTCCCTTTGATGTGACATGTGGAATGAAAGTAGAAAACTACTGGGTTCATAATTCTGTATTTGTACAATTATTTGATAGTCACTAGTGATGGTAAGCTCTGTGGGGCAGGAATCATATGTTTTGCTTACCATTTATCTCTAGGGCCAATCCTGACACAGGATATAGGGGGGCTGTGTGTGTGTTAATAAAGTATTTGTCGTGGGCAGCTGCCAATTCTGACACATCATCGAGTGTGCACAACCCTGACACAACTCTTCTTCTTCTCCCCAAGGCATGCCAACAGAGCCTGTAGGATGGAATGACTCATTTCCATAAGATCTACCACAGATTAGCTGGTATCCAGACAACCTGGGCAGAGACAGCAGAAGATGAACAGATAATCGCATTCAGAATTGCTTCATATAGAATCAGGACCTTAGAGCTGCACAGGGCTGACCCTAGATCGTATCTAAGATGTACAGATACCAGTGCACTAAACGGTGCCTCTGTATTAGAAAGCAGCACTTGAGACACACCAATTAATGTATACCCAGGTGGATAGCACAACTGCAGTTTCCTGAAACTCTTTTGAAAACAAAAGGTATATCCCAAGAGGACAGCCCTGAGCAAAACAGTCTTCACATCACACAATAGCTCTATCTGCAGACACAGATGAGATGTCAACAAACCCCAGTACCATTATTAGCAACAAAAGCAACCTAAGTAATTATCAAGGTCCTTTCTCCACGGAGTCTAGGCCACACAGAAGACTCTCTTATTGGTTCTTTTTCTGAAAATGATTTTATTTTTAATTATGTGTATGTGGGAAGATGTCACTTGTGTGCAGGTGCCTACAGAGGCCAGAAGGGGGCGGTGGATCCCCTGGAGCTAGAGTTACAGGCAGTTGTGAGCCACCTAACCTGGGTCCTAGGAATTGAACCTGTGTCTTCTGTAAACACAGCAAGTGCTCCTAAGCATGGAGCCATCCCTCCAGCCCCTCTTCATGGTTCTTAATAAACTTCTGAGCTAAAAAATGAAGATCAAATAGCACAGTCAGCTTTAAAGACACTGAGTTGAAATGATCCCAAACAGACACTCACTCACAAGAAGCAAAACTAGAAGTCAACAGATGTTCAGCAACTGACTGGCAGCTCATGTATCCACCTGTACAGGCCAACAGATTCCCCTTGAACAAGATCTCATGGCTAGAAGCAGAATGCTGATCCTCAATAACACACTCTCCTGGTGGCTAAGACTCAATCCCCACCCCCTAACTGGCACTTCTACTGGGATTAGAATCAGCCACTATCATTAAGAACAGAGAAATGCCCTGATCCAGACCTCCTAAATCAGAATTTCCAGAGTTACAAAATGGTGAGCTATAGCTACCAAACGATTCAGGGCATTTCTAAGTTGAAAACATTATCCTAATGGTCCAAGGGCAATAGCCTAGGGGGAGACCAGGCAGGAGTGCTGTGCTGTTTCTGGCCTGGTCTCCCAGGGACACACAACTGGAGAGGGAAAGACTGTGTTCCTATGGTCACTCTGAGAAACCTCAAACACAAGGCATCCCAGCTTCCTTAGAATAGTCACCACCCCTCATTTCAGTAGGCTAGAACAGACACCACAACCAGCAAGGGTTACACCACTACTCAGAGGCCACGTGAACAGGGAGCCAGGCCCTCCAGACCAGCATGGGGATGAGCAGAGGGAAAGGGGTCTGATGTGGCAGAAAACAGCCTCTGGATGTGCAGTTCACTCAGCCTTCCTTGTCCTGCTGATGCAGACCTCCCACAAGATGAACAGTACTCGATTTAAGGTCAGACTGAGAGGCAAGGTGAGTGGTTGATCAGAGAATCAGATAGTGCAGTCCGAGTCTCCCCGGAATTTGTCTCACTCAAATTTGACAAGACACACCAGACACTTATTTGTAGCTATAACAAAACTAGTGCTGAATACTTCTCTTTCACCAGCTCCAAGTTCTGCCATGCCAAGTCACCCAGTACTATACTGACTCTGTCTGCCCAGGATGTTCCACCTCCAACCCACTTTTTTTTTTTTTTTTTTAACACCAACTCCTTTTTAACTCCTTTCCTCTCTGGCCAACCAGTCTCCCAGTGTCACAGGTGGTCTGAGTGGGCCCACGAGCTCCTACTGACTAGAAGTTGACATTGGAGGAGGAAGCTGCTAGAACTTATCTCCAGTGGCTAAAATCCAGGGAGTCAAGCCCCTGTGACCGAGATTCCAGAACTTTTTGAGCCAGGCCTAATTCCTTTGACCCCTAGAACCTGACTGTCTCTAGTTCAATTCTGGAAGCAAACCTCACAGCCTACCATGGGACCCTGTTTCAGTCTCATTTCTGTTGCTGTGATGAAATATCCTTACCAAGAACAGGGGAGAACAGGGTTTATTTGGCTTA